GTTAGTGCATATTCTAAAAATTATTTGTTGTATATACAGGGTCTATTGTAAAAGAAGAGATAAAGTTTTATTTTTTTTAGCGACTCTACGAGACTTTTAAATATTGGGAGTCACATTCTAGTTAGAGGCAAAATTAGAAGATGTGCACTCTGCAGCCCTCGAGCATAAACTGTGAGGCCCACTCTCATTTGTCAGGAATATGACGTTGCTCTTTGCTTGGACTGTTTCGCTTCTTTTCATAATGCTTGATACATTTTGTTTATAATATTATTACATTGATGTTAAAATTAAAAAAAATTGTGTAATATGCTTCATTTATTAAATGCGGTTATTATATTAACCACTGCTAAACCATTAAATTTCAGTTCCGAAAGTATCGATACATACATATACATACATACATACTGCCATTACTCGCTGACGAGTATTTGACACGCATCAGAAGATGGTCATGCAAGGCGTTTCCTTTCATGAGCTTTTCTGTGACTGAAAAGCCCTATATGTGATGTTATCTGTGTACCGCACTCCAGACATTCAAAAATCTCATTGCTCTGTTACCTCACTTTTTGGTTGTCGCTGTTAACTGAGTCCTGTCGCTGTTAACTCTTCTCCATTCCGTTCTATCGTGAGCTGCTTCTTCCTACTCATTCTGCTTGTTAATCCCCTTTAAGTTTTCGTGAAAAATATCCTTATACCTTTTGAGTTGTCCACCCGACCTCCTCTTACCGTCTACAAGCTCACCGTAAAGTAGAGATAGCTCTGTTAGCTTTTTCAAGGATCGATACGTTTGAGACATGATGGAACCATTTGATTCTTAAGAGTTGTCTAAGATGTCTCTGTTGCAACTTGTTTAATGCGTTCATGTGTCGGCGGTATGGCACAGGTTTCGCTTCCATATAACAAGGTGGGAATTATTATTGCTCGATATACTGCAAGTTTCGTTATTGCTCAAGTCATGCTTGTAGAAAACCCTGTCTTTTAATTTTCAGAATGCTCCACAGTAGTTCCCTCCCTTATAAAAATTTGGCCAAAACTCAATATATCGAAAAAAATTATTTTGATCATATATGATCAAATATTTTATAATCTATATTTAAAAACATGAAAGGTTTGTTATAAAAATATATTTTGGAAAAATTCACTTTAGAGCACCTATGTAATAACATTTTATATACAATAGTCTAAAAAAGCATTTAACTATTTTTGTATCGACAATGAATAAATTACTCGCTTAGTGTTTTCAAAATAATATAAAATAGTGCATATTATAATTAGACTATACTGCACGTATACTTTCCTCATATAATATCAGTTTTGATAAATAAAATGAAAAAAAAATAATACTAACCATTTCAAAATATCAACATATATTGTACCTTTGAAATATATTTTTATACATAACTAAATCAAGGATATCGAAGCTGAACTAAGTGATTGTTTTTAACTTAAATGAAACTTCATAATGTCTTTTTTAAGAACCATGTCAAATTAGCTGCTAATATCTGCTATTCAGCATAAATTGTCTTCGTAAACAAAAGTTTTATATAAATGTTGCATGGCTAAGAAATGTGCATTTAAAAAATTGAAATAGAGTATTTTAAATATTACATTGTTAGCCACGCCATAAAAAAATAACCGGCACACATTAATGTGAGTTTTTCTTCACAAATTTATTCTCGTTTCTTTGGTGTTAAGAAAATATTGGTAAAGTTCAGGGTATTAACATAGTATAGTACTAGATATTAACAAATATAAATTAACTTCAGGTTTTAACCAATTTTCGGATATATGTAGGTACCTACTATTATTAACCAAAATTTTAATAAAGAAGAAATAGCATGGCAACACCGCATAGTTTTCCAAATAAAAATAGTGTCCTATATGCACAATTTTATGCTGAATCGAATTATGTACAGAAAAATGGGAGCTGTGATTTAAAAAAGACAACGCTTTATCATTACTTTTTTTGATACCCTGTATATAACAAAATATTTTTAGGATATGCACTGTTATAAACCATGCAAATATCTATATAATACTTTTTTTCATATTTTCGTCTACAACGATGATATTGGACTTTCTCACACTAATAGGCCACTCTGTATCTATCTATTTATTAGCTTATGAACTATATACCGGTTATGTTCTAACCATTCTTCAATCTGTTTTTTTTTTCAATTTTTGTTAAATACCTTTATAAAGTAATACCCTTGTAATTATTGGTAAATAAATAACACTTTTAAATTCTAATGAACAATCATCATTGAAAACGCCTAATGATAAAGCACTTTTTTTATATGTTAGGCAACTCCAAACGCCTAAATATTTATAGATTTACTAAAAAATATTAACTGATACATTCATTTTCACTGATATAATAAAATACAGGTTTTGGCCACGTACGTCCATAAGAGCGAACCAGTGTGTGCTCTTGAGGCGCTGCTAATCCTGTGCTGAATTTCAGAGTCGACATTGGTCCTTTCCGAAATCCAACTGCCGAGATAATTGAATTCCGCTACATATTCCAGTAGTTCATTTCCGATCTTTATAGCACTGATGTGATCCTCCGGGGGAGTGCACATGATTTAAGTTTTATTGATGTTCACTTAAGTCCCATAGCCTCGTATATCCATGTATATGTGTTCAACATTTCTTGCAACTGTAACGTATTTGCAACTAGAGCACAGTCATCAGCGTATTGAAGTTCTGTGATGAATCTTGTACGTGTTTTTGCCCTGAGTCTTTTTATGTTGAACAGACCGCCATCGTATCTAATGTCCAAACCTCTCTCCTGCAGTTTGCTGTTCACTATAATGGAGAGCGCTACCATGAATATATTGAATAGGAAAGGCGCTAAGACACATTCTTGCCTAACGCCTGTGTTTGTTAGAAAGAGATCGCTCAGTGATCCATGATATGACACTTTTAACTTGTTGTTGTTATGGAGGCTTTTACACACTGTAATAAATTTTTTGGGTACTCAGAACTTTTTCATAATTGCCCACAGTGCATCTCGAAAGTATCGATAGTGGATAATATAATAACCACGTCATTACAATCGTACAAATGTACAAATTACAAAGTCCTGATTATTAAAGTTTTTTTCAACATATTTGTGGTTGTCTGTAAGGCATATATAATAAATGAAAGCCAAAACTACATCAAAAATTTAAAAATTCTGCAGTAGTAATATTATTTTTATTTGAAACACTATGAGATGTTTCTATTCTAGTCTTTATTTACTGAAACTTTGGAAAGAAACACTATATTTTACAATAATAGCTATATTTCCCTATGCGCCACGAATATGAGAATCTATCCGCGAAGGAAAATTTACAGTATCTAATGCAGAGTATGTTTATGACGTCGCCATATGTTAAATGCAACACCTTCTCTATTAAAAATATTATATAAATACATTCCCAATGGTTGTAAATAATAAACATTAGACCAGTAGTGTGCAGTGCAAATCAAAGGTGGGTAGGGAATATTAACAAAATAAGAATAGCATAGGTAATTAAATAAGTAATCAGTATAATTACTTTTTACTCTAATTTGGAGGACGATTTAAGATTTGGCATGACTGCGTACAACAGCGGTCAACGGCCGACAAAATAAAATCCATATTTAGAGATAATATAAAATAAATAAATCCGTCTTACTTCGTCGTACGTGGGGGACAAAAGCGAGCGGGCGACGCGCGCGACATATTTCAATCGCCTGCGATGTCGCTTCAGTCGCGCGACATCGCGCGGTTCTCCTACCTAGGATAGACAACTTCGTAAGAAAACGTTGTTTAATAAAAACGCGTCGCTCGCACCCCTCCAGTCGCGCGCTTTTGTCTCCCACGTAGGACCAAGCGTTAGCCCAAATCATGTGAAAGGCCTCTATAGGGAATATAGTCGATACGGGTGTGTCTCAAAAGTGGCTCACCCGAGGTCTCACCCCTATAACTTTTTAATTTTTTCAGTTAAAAAAAACGAGATTTGGTATGTTAGTATATGACATAAATTTGGATTGATTGGCATATTCAATTGGTTTCGGTCACTTCCTGTTTCACCGGAAATTACTACAAGTTTTGATTTTTAAATGGCACCCTCGATATTTTTTTACTTAATTTGATAGAAAATAACACTCTGAATAGAATAACATATCATATGTCAACTTTTAACATTTTCGCATATGGTTTATTTGAAAATATAACTTGCGGTTTGTAACGAAAATTTGACTCCAAATACCAAGTGTGTGGTACCAAATTATTCGTAAGAATATCATTAGCATATTTGGAATGCTAATGAGCCACCTTCGTTCCATTTGAAAATAATTAGATATTATTAAAAATACGATTCAAGCATCTTCTAACTGGCCAGGACAAGACACTAAAAACATTAGACGATCAAATCTAGTTGTCCAAGGCTCCTTGATTAAGAAATAGTGTTTTTAACATAGCCATGGCACTCTAGATTGAATTTTAAAATACGATTTTTTATTAAGCGAGAATGTCAAAATTTGACATATGATATGGCATTCTATTCAAAATGTCAATTTCTATCGAATAAAGTAAAAAAATATCGAGGGTGTCATTTAAAAATCAAAAGTTGTAGTCGTTTCCGGTTAAACAGGAAGTGACCAAAAACAATTGAATACGTCAATAAATCCTAATTTATGTCATATATTAATATGCACAATCTCGTTTTTTTATCTGAAAAAATAAAAAGTTATAGGGCTAAACCACTTTTGAGACGCACCCGGTATAGAAACAAATCGTAGGATAACGTCTTTTTGCCTACATTAAAATGCACATCACCGCTTTACACATGTTAAATTACTTGACATCTTTAAAACAATCTTATGTCAAAAGTTTGTCAATTTAATATATCTTTTTGTTCTGTTTTTAAAGAAATCCAAAATTGATTTCTGTAATAAAATTAATCTATCAAATGTTAAAAATCGAACGATCCAGAAAAAAATATGGACAAAAATTTAAAAAAAATACTCACATCAATATTTTCAAATTCCACAGGACCTGGTGGACCGGCCGGTCCCGGTGGACCCGGTGCGCCAGGAATACCATCCTCTCCAGGTTCTCCTTTAGATCCTTGAAGTCCTGGTGGTCCAGGTGGACCCTTCTCACCTAATTATTCCAAAAATGTTTATAAATTCTATTATAAATACTATAAATTATACCTCTTTCGCCTTTATCTCCTCTTGGTCCCACTGATCCTTTCTCGCCAGGTCTACCAGGCTCTCCTGGTAATCCTGGTACTCCTTCCTTTCCAGGAAGGGCCGGTAGAGCAGGGGAGTATGGTAGAGTGATTCCCATGGAGCTCAGAATTGATGTTACGTTACATGAACAACTGCCCTGCAATATTATTAATATGCTTTTGAAGAAATATTTATTTTCAGTTATTTGAGTAATTTAAAGCTAGGTATGAATTTATTTAAATTTATTGTGTTTATTTAGATATTATTTTAAATAGATGTATGATATAAACAATGATTAAAATACTTAGTTATTCAGATTTTGCTCATTTGGTTGGCAATAAGTTGAAAAGTCAGAGATGCCAAAATAGCTACCTTCTCGAGCAAAGGGCTATTTGTTAGAAACATAATAAGATATGCAAATTGAGACTGAAATTTAAATGCTATTGATTTGGATAGTTTTAATATATCGAGGATATTTCTGTATATCCAGACAACAAAAAATTATGAGCATCAGATCTAAAATATTAAATAATTATTTCAATTAAAAAGGCAGTCAACATTTGTTACGGAGTAAAGTAATAGAAATATATAAAGACATAAGTAGATTTATATTAAAATTTTAAATTTTATCTAACAAAAAATAATAATCGCCTTATCATATATTTTTAAATATTTGATTAGTATTTAAAAAATAAAGACCTAATAAACTAAATAAAACAGAGCTTCCAGAATAATTTCAACTGTTTTCATTAAGATCGATATGAGATGATTATAAAAGAAGGCAAGATTCCCTCTAACAAAGGGCGAGTTGTTAGAAATAGATTGGGATATGCAAATAAGAGCTGAAATTCAGAAGCAAACAATTTTAGTGGTTCAAATATAGATCCAGACCTCAATATCCATATACCAAGTATTCTAAGCATTGAAAACTTTCGGCCTGATTATTTTTAAATTAATTATTAGTGTTTATATAAAATAGGGGAGTAAAAAAGATATTCCTAAAAAACTAAAATCCCTAATTTTTTTCTGAGAACGTTATTAGTTGAAACAAAAAAAAATAAATGAAAATAACATAAATTAAATAAAAATAAAAACAAATTAATATTTTATAAAAATATTAATGATACATAATTTTACAATCTATATTTTTTTCTATTCAAATGTTTAATATTGCCCAAACCGAGTCATTCAATATAATATAACAAAAAATTATGTTTCCAGTTTTAACATTTATTTAAAATTATCAACGTTCCAGTTTATTATTTGTTGAAATAAAATTTAGCGCATAATTAAATAACACAACTGGATCAAAATGAAATTCCGAAAGCATTTGATACGTAGCCCGCCTAATAAACTCTTTATTACATTTTAATACGAACATCAAAGTATAGAACGTATGAGTAAGATATACAGGGTGTTCCAATATTCCGTGGACATAGAACTACTACGTATTTTTGGAATCAGAATAAGTTCATGGGACACAATTTACCTCTATACAAAATGCTTTGTTTGTCCGCTAGGGTGTGTCAAACTTTAAAAAATAAACACATTTCTTCAGATATATTTTAAGAACTGTTATTCTGATTTGAATGAGATTTTGGTTATCTATGTTTTGCTAAGTTCCTTAACGTGCCTTTTACAAAAATTAATAAAAAGTACGGGAAGGGTGAAAACTACCCTTATCCCTACATAAATTTTAGAATAAATATTTTCCAACCCAACCGACGACCGACAATTTTTTTTGTCACATGAAGCTATAAAGACGAATAAAATCTATTATGCTCTAATAATCTAGGTGGCAAAAATATGAAATTTTATAATATGTGGCTAACCAAATTATATTTGACATTAAGCTTCGTAAAAAGCTTAAAAAATAGGAAATTTTAAATTAATTAACGTTCGGGTTTATTTCGTATTGATGCCCCCTAACAGACAAACGAAGTACTTTTGTATAAAGGTAAATTATGTGCAATTAACTTATTTTGATTAAAAAAAACGTACTTGTTCTATGCCCACGGAATATTGGAACTTCCTGTAAATTTTGTAGGTCTGTTTTGGAAAAATACATACTTAAAAATTTTTTTTTCTCAAAAATTATGCGATGTGGTGTTATTTTACAAGATACAAAAAATGTAGTAAATACTATAGAGGGATCGTTTTACGAAAAAAACATCGGTCGTCGGTTGAGTTGGAAAATATTTATACTAAAATTTATGTAGGGGTGGAGGTAGTTTTCACCGAAGGGAAGCCGTTTTTTTCTGTTTTTTTTTTGTGAAAGTCAAATTTTAAAACACTTAGATAAACATAGACACCCTAAATCTCATTTAAGTCGGAATAACAGTTCTTAAAATATCTGAAAAATTCTGTTTATTTTTTCAAAGTTTGATGCCCTCTGGCGGACAAACGAAGTACTTTTGTATAGAGGTAAATTGTGTCCAATGAACTTGGGTCCATGGAATATTGGGACATCCCCCGTATATAATTTTGTACACGCTTTCCCGCTGTTTTCAAGTTATAACTTAATTCAGGGTAATTTATTTTGCTTCTAGCATACATTTTTACATTTGTTTGCTGTTTTATGAAGCACACAGTGGTGCAACGGTGTTTGCTATTTTTCCTACGAAAAACTTAATTGAAATTGTTGTACGTGCACGTGACCTAAGGCGAAATTACGATATTCAAGAGCTTTATATCTATCTGGGCTGATCCATGTACAGGGTCCGGCAATAGTGCGTTGAGCATCTGTAACTCCTAGAATAAAAAACTCAGGAAAATATTTTAACTTCTATAGGGTGGAAAAAAAAGGTCAAGAAAGTGTGAGTGGAACGGGATTATTTTTTTAAATGGAAAACCCTGTATTTTATTGCATTTTTCGCTTCCTTTCAGATTACTTTACGTTAATCCTAAGATATGAGTAAATAATTTTCGATAGTTTCAGAGATATTAATAAATAAATAAGAAATATAAATTTTTTAGCCTTTCATAAAAAAATATTATAAATACAAGAACTGTCCTGAAATTAAAACTATATTAGGTATTTACTTTAGATGCTCTAAACTTAGTTTGCTATAAATATCGCAATCTTAAATCATACAGGATGTTCAAAATTCTACGCCAAACTTTCTAAAATATAAAATAATTTTTCTTTCTTTTTTGAAACGAAACGCCTTGTATGTTATTTTTTTATTAAATGGAGAATTAAAAAATTTGTATTTTTTATATTTAAAGCATTTCAAAATGTGCAGCTACACGTAGTATTATTTCATATGGCTCTCTCAACGGTAAAAAACGAGAGAAAAATTAATGGGTGGCTTTGATAAAAATTTACTGTGGAAAATGCCATATGAAATATAAAACTGCGAATATCTGCGAAACCGTTAAAGATTTTGAAATACTCTAAACACAAAAAATGTCCATTTTTTAATTATCCATCAATTGAAAAAATAAATTAAAAAAATTCCATTAAAAAAAACGAAAAGAAATATATTTTAGAAAGTTTGGAATTTTTAACTCTATGAAGTTTGGTGTAGAATTTCTGAACATCATGTATAATTTACGATTACGATATTTATGCAAAGCAACTACAGACCATTTAAACTAAATACCTAATATAGCTTTAATTGCAGGACAGTTCGTGTATTTTTAATTTTTTTTCAGAAAGGCTAAAAAATCTATTTTTCTTCTTTATTTATTAACATCGAAACTATCGAAATATATTTACTCATATCTTAGAATTATGTAAAGTAGTCTGAAAGGAAGCCAAAAATGCAATAATATAGAGGGTGTTCCATTAAAAAAATATTCCAATCCACTCACACTTTTTTAAGCCACCCTATAGAACTTAAAATATATTTCTGAAATACATCCTAAAACTTACTTTAGGTTTGCATTTAAATAAAATTTCCAAGTTTTTTTATTCTAGGAGCTACAGATGACCCGCGCACATGATGAGGGCACTATTGCCGGACCCTGTATAAGGGTTCAGGTTTAAAAAATTATATTCGTTAATTATACCTAAAATATTACTAAGAGGCATTGAAAATGCAACATTTATGAAGAGTTCTTTAATTTTCACTATAGTTCGACATGTTGGCCTACCACTAAGTAGTTAGTGATTAGTCCTCTACTACTACATCTCGTAAAAACTGGGATATTCTAGTATATTCATGTATTCTACATGCAGCGGCGTAGTATGGCGTCTATACCAAGGGGATGCAATAAGTAACTGCAATTAACATTTTACCAGCACAATAAAGTTTTTTTTCTTTTTTTATTATTTTAAAATATTAATAATATTAATTTTTTTTGAAATTAATATTTTATTTAAAATATTAATTTGCAGTTACAAAAGTAATATATACAAAAAAGGCAACAGGTTAAAAAATAATCAAACCAACTTTTATTATACATTTTTTTCAAATAAAGGAGAAGAATGCACACTCTCTACTATCGAAATGTTCATCGCGACGCGCGACGATATTTTTTATTTTATACCGCAAGCAAGATGTATTTATAAAACCGCATCATCCATCGACTAAAACAGACGTTTATACAAATTCGACGAAATACATCGAATATACACATATAAATTCTCCAAAGATGTTGCATTTTGAATGTCACTTGGTATGAAGCAAAAAATATATATACTTAGATGCCAAAAAAATTGGCTCTATTTCCATGATTTTTTAGCAAGCTGTATATAATTATATCAACTTTAATTTCTAAACTCGGTTTTTTATAAACTTTAGTATTTGGCATATTATACGGGGTTAATCAAGGGGTTGTCCTTTTACATTAACTTTAAAACACCCTGTGCAATAATTTCGTGTGTAAATTTTCCTAAAATATAATTTTGCGGTCAAAACCACGACTCCTAAGCATTTTGTTTGTTGATACATGTCAATACGTGCTTCGGTTAATTTTTAAGAGCGAATTTGCTATTTTTTCAATTATCATTACTTTGATGTAATTTATTAATATGACGAGATAGTTTTGGTGACTACTGTGGTTACGTCATAATACGCTGCATTGGATACTCTATACTAAATTAAAAAAAAAACGTTATACAGCCCGGGTTTTAATGAACATTAATAAAGATATTACAGAAAACATTTGTAAAACTCAAGTATATGAACAGATAACAAATGTAAAAAATACCCTAATACTTTGTATTGCAACACTTAGCTTGCTTAACTACCTGTATAGTTCTGTTCATACCGTCAATGATTCTGCATATATCATATTACGTTATATTTTTCCAATCATCTTTAAGGACCAAGCAAAGTTTATTTAATGAAGCTGGTACGGCTTCGCGATCTCTAACTCTCCTGTCAAGCGTTTACCGAACGTCGGACATGATGGGCAGCTCATAGTAGTATTTGGTTCACAATAATCACAAAAGCCGCCTTGTCAGTCATATTGCAAAATAACATCAAAAAAAGTGATAATTAAAAAAATTGCAAATTGTTGGTGGCAAGTTCAATTCGCTCTTAAAAATTAACCAAGACATATATTGACGTGATCCAAAAAGTAAAATGCCCAAGAGACATGGTTCTGACCGTAAAATTAAATTTTAGGACAATTTCCACACGAAATTATTGCACAGGGTGTTAAAGTTAAGGTAAAAAACAACCCCTCGATTAACCCTGTATAATATGCCAAATACTATAGTTTATAAAAAACTGAGTTTACGAATTAAAGTTGATATAGGTATAGATATAGTTATGATATAGTTATAGATACAGCCTGCTAAAAAAATTCATAAAAATAGGGCTAAAAATAACAAAAATATAACACTTTTTAAATTTGACCAAAATTTTCTTCGTTGCGTTTTTTTTCCATCTAATATTTCTATTTTTACTATTCATTTAAAATTATCAACGTTCCAGTTCATTTGTTCAAATAATATTTAAAGCATAATTAAATAACACAATTGAAACAAAATGAAATTCCGAAAGCCTTTGATACGTTGCTGGTCTATTTGTGTATATTTTCAATTTAATAAACTCTTTATTATATTTTATTTCGAATATCAAAATATAATATGGAGCGTATGAGTAGCTATATAATTTTCTCTCCGCTTTTCCGCCGCTTTCAAGTTATAACTTAATTCGGTGCAGTTTATTTTGCTCCCATCATCCTTTTTTTCGTAAGTTCGCTGTTTTATGAAGTGCACAGCGGTGCAGCGGTGTTTGTTATTTTTCCTATGAAAACTTAATTGAAATTGTTGTACGTGCACGTGACCTAAGGCGATATAACGATATTCAAGAGCCCCATGTTTATTTCTATATAAAAGCTTTGCTTTAAAAATTGTTAGTTGTTAATTATGTACTAGAACATATTTTAGAAAATATAAGTGATGTTTCAAATCCTACTGATTATTAAAATAGTCCCAAATAAAATGTATGCTATATTTCCCAACAGGCAAAGCAGTACACAGGGAAACGCGATAACCCCAAAGCTGTTTACAGCAACGTTAGAAGAAATCTTCCGTCAGGTGGACTGGACTAACAAAGGATTAAAAATAGATGGAGAATATCTTAACCATCTAAAATTCGCTGATGACTACCAATAGTCCTGAAGAACTACAAGCATAAATTAATGAACTAAATACAGCCAGCAATAAAGTGGGTCTCAAAATGAATTTAGCAAAAATTAAAGTAATGTACAACGAACTAGTGGAAAGAATAAACATTCTAATAAATAATAAAATACTGGAAATAGTAGAAGAATATATCTGTTTGGGACAACTAATACACCAGCTCCGGATCTCTACTACCAGAAATCAACAGAAGAATTAAGTTAGCATGGAGTAATTATGGAAGGAACTAAATCATATTCAAATCTAGAGTGCCACTCTATCTAACCAGAAAACATTCGACTAATGTGTTCTACCTGTCATGACCTAGGCATGCGAAACCTGGACACTTAAAACGGGCATCATAAGGAAACTGCAGGTCGCATATCGCTCAATGGAACGAAATATGCTGGGAATAACCAAGAAAGACCGTGAAATAATAAACATAGTCAACAACAGATGAACCACGAAAATTACAGCATGGTACCCACGAGGAATATCTAGAGAGACCTAGAGGAAGACAGAATCTAAGATGGAACCATGCTATTAGGAAATTAGCAGGGATAACCCATAGCCAACGATATACAACAATGGGCCCAACTACAAAAATAATATTTGAGGGAGACTACACATAATTGAAAATGGTTGAATAACCTGAAAATGATGAGGATGATGATAATGATTTTATTTTAGGTTTTAGTATTATATTTCGTGTATGAAAGGGCTTCAACAATATAATTTGCAAAAGAGAAAAATATGGTGTAATTAAGATCTACAATGTGGAGACAAAAAACTAAATTATTTTTCTATTACCAATTAATTTAATTATTCACTCGGTTAATGATATAAATGCTAAAATTTTAATTTTAGTTAATTAAATTTTGAGATGTCCAAATATTGGCTGCCCTGTTGATTTTACAGCCGTTAGATTATAAAGTCGTTAATAGGTTTTTTAAAGATGTGCGTATGTCGAATAAGACACACGAACATATCTTAAGTCCTCCAACTGATTTTGTCAATTTGTTGTGCTGTTTACGCTACTACTTTATAGTAGATAAAATTAAATGTACCCGAAATGAATGTTTGTAATTTAAAATTGTTACAAATAGGCAAAAGCCTCACGTTTAGGAAATACAATTCGACCTTTACAAAATCATAGGTTCACAACTTAAGGTATGTTGGCATTTTCCTGGTTTTGCATTGTTACCTGTTCAGTTTGAATTTAAAAATAGATGCAGTTTTTCTTAAATTACTTGAAACTGACTTGTACAAAATAGGCATGTGTGTTTAGCATACGCAGACCTTTAAAACACTTATTTACGAGTTCGCTGTAAAATTAGTAAGGGAGCCAATATTTGGACTTAAAATTTGCATGCGATTTCCTATGTTTTCAACCACGATACACTACCCGTTATGCGAAATATACTAAGGGCTGGCAAAGGTTAATTTTGGGTCGAGATTTCCGTATGTAAAGGCGCATCCTCACGACTCGTGTACTTCACAAACATTTGTAATTGGTATACAGGGTATACACGGTGCGTCAAGCATCTATACCTAGAATTTCTAAGTTATTTATTATAGAAACTACGCCGCACTTCCGCCAGACCCTGTAGGCGAATAAAAATATTTGCCAAGTACACGAGTCGTGAGAACGCGTCATAAGAAGAATATAATGCGTTTATAATGTACTGAACAAAGAGAGAACAGCATAAACGTTGCCAAACGTATGTGATAAACCGAGAATCTGTGCACATTGCTAAGAGACGTGGAAGGGGATACAGCAGATTCGTCGCGGTCGACCGGCCGACCCAATCAGTAATTAAAATTCTAGAGGAGGGGGTATATCATGTGTTCAGCGTTATAATTTAATTACGTCTCGTGATACTTTATTTGTTTATTTATTAACGAGTCGTAAATTGTAATTTAGTTTGTAAATTTTTAAATGCAAGTTAGAAACACTTGCACTTTTGGTAAAAATAAGTGGAATTGAGTTGGTGTTCGACAGTGGTCGCGCTATTAGAACTCTGAATTCAAAAATCGATATCTCGATATACATTAGAAATAATTGATTGTAGTTTTTTTCAAAAACTTTCTTAATATTTCTACTATATTTTCTTCGCAGACAGTATGTGAAAATCTTTATAAATAAAGAAGTTACACGATTGCTAAAAATTGCTATGCACTAGAAGTAAATGGACGTTTTTTTTTAATTTTTGAATGAAAAAAAAACCTATCGAATTTTTCTCATTTAAACATCTTGTAAAAGATCCGAACTTCAAAATAAATAAAAAAAACCGTTTCAATATCTAAAGTGGTTCTTGAGTTATCGCGTGATATGTGTTAAAAAGTTGGATTTATAAATTATCGCGATTACTGACATTTTCTCGTTATAAAAAATATGGACACCTTAATGATATTCCAATAATTCCATTTCAGATGTTCCGAAACATATCTAATGATTTTATCTAGTTATCTCTTCAAAAAAAAGTATTTTAAAAATAAGTGGTTTACTGGAGAAATGTGACAACGCCGCAACAGCACACGGTTGCATTTCTCTCACTCCGTCTGAATGAGATCCCTATGCGACTTACTTCCACACATGTAAATACCGACCCAAAAGTAAAAGTTGCCAGCACGGTATATTTCTTTTATTTTCATTAAAAAAATAACTAAATAAATTTTACATAAAACATCAGAAGCGGCTTTATATTATATAAAGTGTATCTACTTCGTAATGTAAATAAGGGAGAGTATATAAAACTAATTAAAATTGGAAACATACCTCAACAGCTGCTGGTCCAGGCGGTCCAGGAGGTCCTGGAGGACCTCTTATAGCTTCCCCAGGAGGTCCCTAAAAATATGGAAAATGTATTTTATTAAAAACGTTCTATTGACATGTAAATTTGATTAAAGTATTTTTTCAAAGTGAATAGCTCCATAAATATAGACTATCTTCTATATTGTCACCAATTTATTTTATGAAATATATGTATTCTTATATAGAATATAATTTTTTCTAAGATAATACCTAGACAGTTTTATAGTTTTTATGGCAACGAAGCCAATATCCATTAGGTTAGTTAGAAGACGTATGGGTGGCATAATAAAGTTGTCACGCATTTTATTTGAATTACGGGTCCTACAGCGAAACTCGTTATTCTGAGAAAGATAAAATATTTATATATAACATTATTTGCAAGTATAAACTTGTTTCCTTTCAAGTATATCAATTTTGTTGTAAGTTATATTTTTTTAAAATCATTAATTCCTTCAGAGTATTTTTTTAACTAGCTAACTTCATACCGCGTAACTAATGGTGACACAAAGTTTCTTGTCAATTTTGAGGTACTGATGACTGGCTGACAATCGATTTTACAACTGATATAATAATTTGTTCTCTATATTTTTATCTGTGATTCAAGTATTCAAATAATTCAAATACTTTCATAATTCAAATCATTTCATATTTTTTAAATGTATGACCTAAAATGCTTAGTTTCGGAGATACAGTGTGTAGAAGTTTCATTTTTATTTCGAGACTGTTTTCCAATAATTTCTGAAGTAACGTCAATATTTGGAGGAAAATTGGTAGTGTCTGTGATTTTTTTGACATGAGAAAGTTGATTGATGTCAATATGACACCTACTTGTAGGGGGTACCACCTACATGCGATTTAACTGTTTTGAAGAGTAATAACTTTTCGTCCGTACCTGTATAAAACTACCGAGAAAAAATATACATATCCGTGATTTTCTACGTAAAAAATGTCTCTTGGTAAAAAATCTGTACGAGCAACCGTTTTCAAGAAATATAGAATTGAAATAGTCAATACATGTCATTATTGACAAAAAATAAACATGTTGAGTAGATAGTTATTTGAGTGAAGTGATAACTTGGGAACTTTTTATTTTTTTAAATTAATGATGAATTTTTCTTTGAAAAAATGATGATAAAACAGTTTCTGTTGAACTTTTTAACACAAAAACATTTCTAATTTATGATCTCAGTCTAATAACTATTTAGTTAACATGTTTAAGTGTTTAGTTTAATTTTGATGACAGGTATTGATAATTTCGAATCCAAATATCTCGATAACCATTACTTGTAGCGATTTTTGCCAAGAGACCTTTTTTACGTAAGAAACGCAGTGAATATATATTTTTTACTCAGATGTTTTATACAGGTACGGACAAAAAGTTATAACTTTTCACACCAGTTAAAAATATGTAGATGGTGCCGTCTACCAATAAGAGTCATATTTGCACCAAAATGAAATTTCTCATGTTAAAAGACTCTCAGACATCAATTTTCATCCAAATATTGACATCACTTCGAAAATTATTTGAAAAAAATCGAAATAAAAATGAAACTTCAACACCTTGTTTCTCTCGCGAAAGTAAGCATTGTAGGACATATGTTTATACGAACTTTTTTACTTATTATTATCTGCAGAATATGATGCTGAAATTTCCCCAATTTCAGTTCGGACCACCCTGAATATTTCAATATCTTTCTAAAATTAATGCTATTTACCCATTATTTCGTGTTGAAATTCTATTCTAAAATGTCTAAGAGGTTGGTATGTCACTAATGTGCAGTGGACATCAATTATCACAAATAAGCTCTATAGCCGTATATATGACGTGGATTGGCCATTGCAGAATTTCAAATATACATATGTATCTTCTGTATATATATTTCCATTAATTTTTCCTATACTTTAGTAGACGAATCCAAAAAATTAGAGATCATAAAATTTATCCAGCAGTTCTTGAATAAATGATGTAACTAATTCGACTTTGGTTGGATAAAACCTTTGTAAAAACTATAATATTTGCATAAACTACTCAAATTTATTTTTTTATATAAAATTTGAGGTATACAGGGTGTCCCAGGCTGAGCGTGCATTAGGAGTTTCCAGAGAACTACAACATCTAGCTCGGAGATTTTTTGCACATCATAGTTTAAAAACGAGATCTATCGATTAAAAATATTTTCAATATGGCGGCACTTCCGGTAATACCTGAACTTCACAGCAACTTTCTTATTTTAAATGGGTGTCACCATTTTTTATTACATACTTAAATTCTCTGCAAAATTTTATGAATTTTGATATTAAACACTATATCTAACATTGACCGTTTTTGAGAAAAAAAATATTTAAAATTTTTGAACGAAGAAAACTGCCTGTCAAAAATATGTGTAGAGCCTAAACGTCAAATTATTAGCTGCTATTCGAGGCTACAGGTAAAGATGAGTTATTACCTTTTATAGATTCGATATTATTATTGAATATTTTTAGGGTAGAGTTATGGATGTCCCAACTTGTATTTGTATTTTGCTGGCACGTTGGCGTCCCTTTTCTTTTGTCCTCCAGAATGTCACATGGAAGAAAGGACAGGTTGTTTATTATTTATTGAGCCCTCGGAAGTATTTCGAGGTAGGTTTATTTTGTTTATTAGACCTTGTTTGGTTTTAAACAAGAGTTTCTTATTTTTAGGGTCCAAGGTACGGACTGTGTCCAAGGTACGGACTGTGTCCAAGGTACGGACTGTGTCCAAGGTACGGACTGTGTCCAAGGTACGGACTATTTCCAAGGTACGGGTAGTGTCTTATGTACAGACATTATCTTATGTACAGATGTCCTGTGGACGAGTGTCCCCAATAAGAACGATTTTTTCTTACATCTAAGTGCCACAGCGTGGATGTAGCTTGAGTCCCATGCTGCTTCACTCCCATTTCTAAGCCTAGTCAGTAGCTACGGCTGTAAGGATTCATTGTGTCCTCAATCTGGCCCCTTTTGTTGTTTTGACCAACAGGATCGCCGACAGACAGTACAGAGATGCTAGACCACCTCACGCTGCTACTGTTTGAAGCAAGGTTACATAAAAGAACAGCTAAGTGTATATTTAAGTTCTAGTTTTACATTTAACATCTAAAACATTTTCAGTCTAAAACAATAACGTACATCTTAAGTAATATCGTACAGACTATGTTCAGTGGTTAGATTGTTAAGAACATTCATGTCGATATAATCTTTAAAATATAATTTAGATCTTAGGTTTCATTGCATTACGTCTTGTAATGGTATTACTTTCTATAGATATTATTATTGCGCTATATTAACAGATGAATAACGAGACATAGATTCTAGAATCTACAGGTTGCAACACATCAGATTTAACACCGCATAAAATTTAACAATTTAAATAAAGTAATGCTACTTTTCTTATATATTCTATAACGTTACACGCATTGTATTTTTTCATAGTCTTTTCATAGAACATATTTAATATTATTTACATACTTAGTTTTACTCAACAAATAAACACTATAATAATTATTAAAATTGTACAATGCTATTTACCATCAGAATTCATCATGAATAAATATAGTCATTAGTTTTAAGTATTATACAACTGTGTTTTCTTTCTCTGTACATGCCTGGCGCCCAATATCTATTTATTTTGTTTATTGTTATTAATTAGTTTTCTTTCCAGTGAAATACCTTATCCACGACTGTTCTCCGATGAAAAGCTGCCGTTCGCAGTGGTAGTTGTTTAAAAAAAAACGCTACAGTACCATAAAGAGAAAACATGTGGCTATATATTTCAAAAATTAAATTGTTCGAATGTCATATGATAATGGCCGCAACTGTCATAGAATTGAACGATTAAAAAATTATCATAAATTATTTTTTTCAAATGGATTTTTTTCAAAAGGCTTTTATTATTTTTTTCAAAAGGCTTTTAAGGTGATTAAGGCGATTTTAAAGGCGATTAAAAAATTATCATAAATTATTTTTTTCAAATGTATTTTTTTTCAAAAGGCAAATTATTTTTTTCAAAAGGCTTTTCAATTCGTTACTTTTTAACTATACATGTTCCTATACCTAAAATAAATCGTTTTTGAGTTATTTAAGATTTAGTTTTAAAGCGTATAATTTTCTTGATTTTAACTAGTAGTCTATGACTTTAAACGTCAAGTGAGGTAAAACAATAGTTATGGCCATGTCATATTGTGATGCTTTATTCAAAAAGCAGAGTCATTTTCGAGCCAACTTTGCGCTGTTTTTTTTTTGATCATAGGGAATATTATTAATAATATCAACTATTAGATATCACTAAAGAGCGAAAATACGAGATATATTTTTATAAATACACTTTTTAAACCCTTAAGCAGGCAGTATTTATACTATAGGAAATTCAAATAATTCGTTTTCTGACAGATGAAAATAATTTGTCTGACCGTTTGACACTTAATGTCAAAGGAAGCTAGATAAAACCAAGAAAAATATAGGTTTTCAAACTCAATCTTAAATAACTTAAAAACGATTTATTTTAGGTATCGGAACATGTATAGTTAAAAAGTAACGAATTAAAAAACCGTTTCATTAGTGAAATAAAAAAGTGGGTTTCCATTTGAAAAAAATGATTTATGATAATTTTTTAATCACTCAATTCCATGACAGTTACCGCCATTATTATAGGACATTTGAACAATTTAATTTTGAAATAGATAGCCACATGTCTTCTCTTTATGTCACAGTGGCTGTGGTAATCACTAAATTTGACTTTTAGGCTATACAAATTTTTTTGACAGGTAGATTTTTTTTGGTCCAAAAATTTTAAATAATTTTTTTCTCAAAAACGGTTAATGTTAGATATAGATTGTTTTATATCAAATATCATAAAATTTTACAAAGAATTTAAGTATGTAATAAAAAATGGGGGCACCCATTTAAAATAAGAAAGTTGTTGTCAACTTCCGGTATTTCCGGAAGCGCCGCCATATTGAAAATATTTTTAATCGACACATATCGTTGTAAAAAAATGATGTGCAAAAAATCTC